CGGGGTCACGCTCATTTTTCAAAAATTTCATAATAATATTATGTTTTACCACAATAATACTTCACATACTAATTTTCACCAATTTGAATCCAATATTAACTGAAATATCGCAGTTTTTGCATTTTTCGATAAACCGTTATGTGGGAAAAGGGCGTGATTACAGTCCGCTTGGGCCCATTTTCAATACAAACCTACCTTGGATAAATGGAAATCTACATACCAAAATACACGGACACACAGACGGACGGACAGACAGACATGGCTTAATCGACTTCTCTATTCATTTTGAGCATTTATTTATGTATACATTTGTCTATATCTATCTCGATTAGTTTTGGCTGTTACAAATAATCGTTATGTGAACAAAGTTAATATACCCTTGTGCACAAGTGCGCTCGGGTATTAAAATTAGTTTTTATTTCTGAGAAATAAAATACCGCTCAAGAAATGCGCTTTATTTTCGATCAAAAGAATATAACTAAAAAAAAATCATTATTTTTTATGAAAAAAATAAAAATCAAAAGCAATGGCTGGTTATCAGCTTATTTCTGTGGTTGTTTTTTATTCAGTTTACAACAATAATATACACTATAGAATAATAACAAAAAAAAATCATGAAATACACCCGAAACAAAACCTATAATATTGATGAACTCCTCTGCCTCACTGCTCAAAAAATTTTAAAGTCCGGTACATACACACAAATTAATTCAAGACCGTATTTTGGCTTAAATTGCCTAACTTCGACAATTTTTATGCAATTTCATTAGATGAGGTATCAATTTATTCGAAAATATATGTTCTTTTAGCTAAATACTAGACATTTGGCAACTTTCGTAGAAATTTTTGAATTTAGCGATGGTGAAAAAATTAAGAAAAATAGGGGCTTCTTGAAGCTTAACCGATGAAAATTCCTCAAAGACTAAGTCTAGATATATACTGTTATAATTCATTTTAAAGGTCTATAAATCTTCTTCTCAAAACATGTTTTGTTTTTAAAATCGGATGAAAATTTGTCAATTTGTTAATAGATAAGTGCATCAAGTACGAACACAACGGTTGTTTAAAAAAAAATATAAATGTAGGGTACAGGAACTATACGGAACTCGACCACAGCTACAACCTATAGTAGGTTTTGTTTCGGGTGTATTTCATGACTTTCTTTTGTAGCACCGTGTAATTTTTAATCAGGTAAGATAGTGTAAAGGCCCACAACAATTTTTACTGGAAAACAAATTTAACTCATAAATAATGTTTATTTCCGAGCGAAAAATCAAAACACGAAAATTTGTTTTATATTTGATCAAAAAAGTATAACCCATTATATAATTTGAATTACCCATATATGTAATACTCCTATATTGGCAGTAAGAGCTAGTACCGTCCGAAAACACTACAGTACAGATATATCAATAAACACGTACGAAAGAAAAGGAACACATACGTTTATAAATAAACATGTACACAACACAT